ACATTGATTTATATTCGACTTAAAACGTTTGAGTCCGAGCATACATGAAGATTAGTATTCGACTTAAAATGTTTGTTTTCGAACACATATAATGATTTGTATTCAATCTTAAACGTTTGTTCTTGAATATGCCTGATGATTTGTATTCGACCCAAAAAACTTGTTCTCTAACAAAGAAGAGATGAAATAGATTTTCAGAAACGCGTGTCGTGAACTTAAAAAAATGGTTTGATACGTTTATATTGTAACTGCGTGCTTTGGCGAAATGGACATAAGTCTGAATTCTATATTTTTGCAGTATTATTTTTGACTTAACTAAAATGTTAACTGTTCTGGCGTTTGAGACTTACTCGATTTATGTTACCTATAAAACTATATAAATTCTTATCATACTTATATAATCTGGTGTTTTAATTTCAAAAGAGATTCATTGCTTATATGAAAATGAGTTCGTAGATAATCAAACAAATCCAGATGTTCCGGTTAACGGTGTTTTTGATTTTGGATTGAATAGTGAGTTAGTAATCGTTTTCTGAAAGGCACAGGTTAGAAATAGGAGTATCAAAATAAAGTGAAATAGTAAGTAGTAATTCTCTAAACATAACCAGTAATAAGTAGAAATTGTCCAAGTAAAATGAAATATTTCTAGTAAATCAAATTAATTTTTTATCTTTTCTTAATCTTTTAGTTTTTACTTACGTTTAGTAAAAATGTCATTTAGTAATTTCAAATAATTCCATAGGCAATGTAATTAATACTTAGTAATAATAACTAATTGCAAGTAAATTTAAAATAAGTAAACAAAATATTACTAAGTAATTTTTTTTAAAGTGTTGTGAATATAACGGGAGTCGCGGTCAATGTTTTTTCGCCCGCCGGAAACAGAATATCCCGCATATTATGATGCAACTATTTCGAAAATTAGTTTACTCACTTGTTGCATTATAATATCCCGCATATTATGATGCAACAAGTGAGTAAACTAATTTTCGAAATATTTTCCTGGGTTTTCTTCAAAATAAACACTGTTACGCATTTTTCGTATGTATTTATTTGGAGATCCCCAATATGTAATGCATACATAAACTATACAAAAATCTCGTCAACTTTCGTTTCATTTCGGTAAGTGTTTTACAACTAATCGTCCAAGTGCTTTTATTTAACTGCCTTAATACTATCAAGGAACTTGTCACTAACTTCTGTAAAAACGCATATAAAAATAATGGTATTAATTATTTCTGGAGTGTTAAATATTCTCCACTCAAATAAAACTTTTTTTCAGTCTCTTATGTCAAAGGAAATATGTAAGATATTCTTACTGGCAGTGTCATGAGATGATTGAAGCGGTAAATTTGCTCCTTGACAACATCTATATACGTTTCGGCAATCAAGTTTTTTTCGACAAGTTGTACCAATTGCGCTCCATTAATAACAGAAGTGTTCCTGTATTGTTATAAATCAACATTAATGGCCAAACTCAGTAAAGGTCTGTCTAGATTTCATTTTATTGATAAATGCAGCAAAACTTACCGCTACTTTGATGACATTTTATGATATTCATTCTGACCCGGATCAGCTACTAAGGATGCAAAGTTTATACCCATTGGAACACTGACATTCACTTTTCACATCAATCAAAAAACTTGACAATCATGATGTCGATTAATGAATTAATATTTTCTAGTTTTTCTTTATTACAAAAAGTAAAAACATGTATTGATGATTTCAAACTCTTTAGCGAATCATTAAAAAAGTAATATTTGCAAACGAATAAGACAATGTTAGCGGCATCACAGATGGACGAGTTATAACACGTATCGTTAAGATATGTACAAGAACATGAGGCCGATGTTATTTTGAGGTATCGGTTAACAAATGTGTGAAGAATTATTTGTATTCAAAAAGAACTTTCTAGCTCGGAAAAACGAAATGAGAACATATAGAAAGACATGGGATTAAACCATACGTTTTTCAAGGTAAAGTTGATGTCACATTTTTGAAAATTTTATGCAAGCCATTATGACTAGTTCGACTGTTTCACAGATAATAATGAATATGTTCCAAGAGTTGCTGCAATATCTAAAATAGATATAGCACACCCATTTTAACAGATTTTGTTGCATACCTGTACATCCAAAGTAGACAGACGGATCCTTTCTCCAAACTTAACATTGATGGAAAAGATAATTCAAGGGAGACTACGGATTTTGGTGGATTTGTGTGACTCATTCTTTAATATTATATTTTGTGTTTACAGACTGTTGTATATCTTTTTTGGTTTGTTTTTCGGTTTTTGTTTTGCCATGGAGTTGTCAGTTTGTCTACGGCTTATATGAGTTTAAATATCCCTTTGATATGTCCCGTCCTCTTTTAAATGGCACCCCGTATCTCTATTTACACTCCTGCTACCCTTAAGGATAATTCGTAACAGACAAGATGTACTATAGAGGCTATTAATCATACAACATTAAGAACAGAAACAAACGAATTGTCCTGAGAAATAAGCCACACGGAAACTTAAATAAAATTCACAATTTTTGAATGCTATCAGTTTATGCATGACAAAATAGAGAAAAGAAGAGAAATCTTAAACGTTTGTTTTTATTCTAGCTATATATATAAATTTACCTCGGTTTATTGTTTATTTCGAACCATATTCCTTTTTTTTCAAATATTAAAAAATGTCCCCCCTCTCTCTCTCTCTCTCTCTCTCTCTCTCTCTCTCTCTCTCTCTCTCTCTCTTTGTGGTCAGTTTTCACTGTTCTCTCTGCATTGTATACATTACAATTAATTCAAATTAAATAATCAGCCGCGTAAAATGTTTCATAAATAGAATTAAATTATTATGATGATCAGTCGTTGGTGTTTAAATGTCACAGTTGACTTGAACACTTGTATAAATGGGATTTTAACTATTTCGAATTATAATACTAATAATGTACGTCATTAAAGGAACAAAAAAACACGTTCAAAAATAAAAATGTATGATTTAGAGCCATACTTTTCAATAACCGCTGAAGAAAATTCACTTAGATTTACTCTTAGTTGAATCGAATTTTGAACTTTTGCTTAGAAATATCCAGTGGTTTAATATGGACAAGACATTAGATATAATTTCTACTTTAGGCCTTATATAGAAATTTGGATAAAAAACCTATATGCAGTTTTATGTGTAAGGAGCACACTCTTACGAATGTACGAGAGCAACGTATCAATTGCGATTTACGATTGGGCAGATGGTATGTTACTGCTGAGAAATGGGAAGTTGACAATTGAATAGTTGAAATCATCATGTTTGTCGCAGATTCTATTTTGATGTTATTCATTAGTGTCAATATCAAGTAAAATATCAAGATATAAAGCAGTTCTGCTGGTTACAGTAGTATCCTTAATCTCGTATTCGCTAGGATAAAAAACAAAAGAGAGGCGAAAGATACCAAAGGGATATATGACCCATTTGAGATTCAAGCACTTACTTGAATGTTGGTTATTGGGTGACAATATCAATATATCTGAAAGTGAAATTTTTGAACTTTTCAATGTTTTTTTTTTCTTTGTTTTTGTCTCTGAGATGGTTTTATATGATTTTTGCTTCCTGACGGGATAAAACGTTATTTTGTTATTCTTTTGATTTACAGCCGTCCACTAATAAATCATATAATGAAAATAATAAAAAATTAAAATAACGAATTCGAGAGGGAGGAAGGGAGACTATATGTATATTTCCTTTATTTCTTTTAAGAATTTTTTCCCGAATATGATCACCATGACAAAGAAATAAAGTTGATCAGTTAATGAAATACAAAAAAGAATTTCTTTAAAAATTATCTAGTGCCTCTAATCAAATGATTGGAGATACAAAGAAAGTCCAGAAAACATTAAAAGTGGATAAACAACACTTTTGAATGATAAAAATAAAGCATGAAATAAAACATGATTTACAATACACACACAAATGATTAACACAATTACCATGATTACCTTTTTTAATAACATTAACAGTACCAATTTTACCTGACCAGATGCACATTTCGACAATTAATATCTCTTCTTTGATGTTTGAGTCCAAACTATTTGAAAATCAAAAACCTAATATAAAGTAATTAACAAAAATACCGACCTGTAATGAAAATTCAAAACGGAAAGTCCTTTAATAAATTGCAAAATCAAAAGCTCAAACACATCAAACGAATGGAAAACAAACGATGATAAGCTGATGAAACCAGAAACCACGTATAAAATCATGGAAAACATGAATTAATATAAAGCACACTTAACAATATTGTTTTTGAAGAAAGGCAATAATAGTTGTTCGATGTTAAAGCCTCATTAATTCATTCAGAAAATACAAATGAATACATACAAAGATTGGAAGCAATAGTAGTTAACGGATGTTCATATCTTATTATACGTTAAGAACATACATGTCAAGATGAACAATAAAACCTTTAAGAACATTACATAAGACTATTCTTTGATGTTTTTAGAATTGTCGATTAATCATTATGTTATGGAATTTATATAAAAATACAATGCGATATGGGGTTTTATTTCAATTAGAACACAACCAAACAACACGAGAACTAAAAGCCACCTATACGTGTTGCCCTTGCCTAAGTTTTAAGTGTTGTTGTGTGTGCTTTTTAATTTTTAATGTCAATTGTTTATACCGGTTATAGTCGTATATATCATTCGGAATGAAAAAGAATTGGAAATCAAATGTTGCTATAAATTAAACTTGGAGAGCAATTTCCTTCAAAAAGCACCAAATAATGATACCAAACTAGCTTAGCAACGTCTCGTGCACTGTCATAACATTAAGTGTTTCTACATAGTCATTAAATTCTGATTTAAGCCTTTTTCCTCCAATTCTTTTTTCTTTTTCCCTCAGAGAAGTTACTTTCTGAGTGAATGATCTTAAGTATGAATATATTCAGACATTTTCCCCTGTTTTGCTTTTCTTTCGACTGAAAAATATTTAGACAAGGATAACAAGACAATTGAATTCTCTAAGTATCATTCTTTAATTATCTCCATCAAAGGGAAATAACTCTTCAAACATGATTGTCCTACAAATTCGATCTCTGAGTCTGTTTAATACAAAAGTTCTTCAAATAAATTATATATACTTCATACCTGCAATGAGTAAAGTAATCAGAGTAGATAAAACAAAAATTGTCAGGCAAACCCAGAACAAACATTTATCAAGAGCTGATATCGCTTCCTTCCACGTTACGCAGGTTTCGTCTCTTTCAAAACATTTTGAATTACCGGTTCTGATTGTACACTTGGTTTCCGGCACTTCTTGGCAAGCGTTCTTAAAAGGTAATACACTGATTCATCATCAGTCAAATGTGCGCATCCTGATTCTATTGCTGAAATGATAACAATCACAGTTGCGATGAATATTTGTTTCATGATATAAATAGAAACAATCGGAATAGATTCTGAACTCTGTGGCAACGAATCACTGATAATCGTGAGAAACACAGCATATGCTAGCCATACTGTTATAACATAACCTATGCGTTCCCCTGTTTCAACCGGTATCTTGAATGTAAAAATATCTAGAATTGAAAGTAACAAGATCGGCATAATATAATTTATTATAGCGTACAATGGTTTTCGCTGAATCACTATTGTAAATCGAACTTTTGTCTCGTGAGATTCCGCGAGATTCAATGCAGATGAAGATAGTATTTTCCATTCACCATGGCGCTGTAGATCATCGGCAAGTTCTATTCCCTTGCTGCCTTGTGTTATATGGACATCTTTACTAGACAAACTCCACGCTACAAAATCTAAATGACACGTCTGCCAATCAAACGGAAAATATGTTGAATCTATATCGCATTTAGACTCAAACACTTGGAAGGGCCTCCAATTTACCAATCCATTTGAATCAATAAACACCGAAATGAATTTTGATCCGAGCTCTTCCAGTTTGGAAAATCCATTTTGTAAAGAAATATCTGGTTTCCATACTTCGCCTTGAGGATAATATATATACCTTAATCCTCCGTAGCTTGAGGGTGTCCATGATAACAATTCATCTGTCCATTCAACCTCAAGCCATCTAGTAACGGTCAGTTTCTGTTCGATCTCGTCAACGCCTGATATGCCGTAAAGTGTAAATATGACGTGTACCGATAACGGCACTGACTGGTTTCTGCTCGGTCTGATAAGTTTGTTATAATTATTAATAAAATTGAGAATGGAAATGGGGAATGTGTCAAAGAGACAACAACCCGACCATAGAACAGACAACAGCAGAAGGTCACCAACAGATCTCCAACGCAGCGAGAAACTCCCGCACCCGGAGGCGTCCTCCAGCCGGCCCCCAAACAAATATATATACTAGCTCAGTGACAATGAACGCCACACTAAACTCCAAATTGTACACAAGAAACTAAAATTAAAAATAATACAAGACTGACAAAGGCTAGAGGCTCCTGACTTGGGACAGGCGCAAAAATGCGGTGGGGTTAAACATGTTTATGAGATCTCAACCCTCCCCCTATACCTCTAGCCAATGTAGAAAAGTAAACGCATAATAATACGCATATTAAAATTCAGTTAGCATTGAACAGAAGTGTATATAAATTTTGAACATTAATATTGCTCTGTGAAATAACTGATCCAAATAGAAAAGGCAATGAAGTTATTAAACACCAGGTAGCAGTCATCTTTAAATTAATAAATTATCACTTTTGTCAAATAAGATTTACGCATAAAGTCATCGTCATGTTTGAAATGCTTTTGATTCAATATTTTGGATTATTTAGTCCCTGCAATATGACAATTCCAGTTTAAAACGAAAACTTCTATTTTAACGAATTAAAGATAATTGTCTTGATGTTATCAACAACGAACACTTTACTCTAATAACAATATTTTATGTTGTACATCAACTTTTATGTATCATTAGTTCGTGACTCCTTTGCAAAATAACTGTAGTTAGTTACAGGGTGTGAAGTTAAGTACCTATGACCCAGATGTGCAAGCGATAAATAAAGTCAGGTGCAGATCCACTTGTGTTATCTTGTAAAATTTCAAACACCTGTCTTACAACTGCCTTGAGAAACTAATATGAGCATGCTCATAACAATCATCAAATGTAAATATAGCAAAATCCAATATATCAGCATGTAATATGACATCAACCTAATGGGAATCTAAGACATATACATTAAGTACTAAAATTACATTTTTATTCAAATATTAAGAAAAGTAACATACGAAAAATATATTTGATGAACATACTATCAAAAGTGGAGATTGGGGCTTATAGAGGTTAAAAGGAAGTAAATAAAGATGACTGGCGCCACCTAGTTTCACATCCAAGTTAGTTGCTAGAAGTAATTTTTTTGTATGCTGCCCTTGTCAATTAGAAATGAAAATTGAAATAGTGAGAAATGAATGTCGTCTACTACTCGTGTAAAAATAGCGAGAAATTTGGAGGAAACGTTTTGAGATGATCAAAATTGTATGTGCAAAATTAAGCAAGAGGTGTTCTTTATCATTCTACTTCGAGAATTCCGGAACCATAGCACCCTTAAAAAGTGCCATTTTTTAATTATAAAAGCACCATATATATTTTTTGCAGTTTTATGCACTCCCAAAAGTGCTGAAAATTCAGAACTTGAAAGTTTTTTCAACGGATTCTGTTATGGTGTAAACGCAGCACATAAAAACGCTACCATTGTCGTCTATGTAAATAATGACTTCGTTAATTTTAACCACAACTGCAGAAAAAAATGATATCTCACTGGCGCAGAGGGCGATAACAACCTATTTAAAATTAGAACTTGAAAATGAGATACACAATTTAAACTTAGATCCAAATTTGAATCGAAGTAGTAAAATACAGATGCGTGAACTACGAACAGAATGACCATTATTTTTCTTACTGCATTATAGTGTATATGATTCAGTATAAATTTGTTTATTAATGTGGGCATACTTTCATTATCGGCCTTTTTACTTCCTGCCAAACTACAGCTAAAATATATCTGATTGTCAAAGCGCAATATTAATGTGTAAGTGACCTTTTTCTTTCCTAATTCGAAAAAAAAAAATGGCCGAAATATTTTTTACTGGTTGACAAAATAGATAGGATTCACATATTTTAGGTGTGGTAGTACTCCTACAACATCGGGACTCAGGTGGTATAATAAGACTTAATCTCTCACATGATTTCTGACATGGATATTTTATTAAAATATTAGTATTTCATAGCAAATAATTTCAATTATTGCATATTTCACTGTTGACAAATAGTTACTTATCCGGAGGTAGCGATTGGGCGTTTATTATGAAAAATAATAAAGCTACTAAAAGTGTCTTTATGTCATGTAAGATAGAGATCTACACGTTTTGTTTTCTTTCATCTCATATCACCGATCTGCAAAAAATATCACCTCCGGGGGTCACAGCTTAATACAAATATACATTATGCATGCTCGACGTGGTTAAGTTTTGTCTTTTCACCTTGCCTTCATAGAATTAATCATTATAAATGTAATTTGAATACATTTGTAAGTATCAGCTGTTTGAATGACTACATGTTCTATAAGGATGTTATTATTATCATAAAAGATGTTATTTGAATAAATATTAGCTGTCTTTATGATTACATGTTCCATTAAACTGTTATTGTTATAAATATTCAATAATTTTAAGCTTTCTGTTTAATTACCACTTAATTCGCTTAATTACACCGACCTGGTAATAAACAGCAGAACACCTCAATTGAACTACTGTGGATTCATTTATTTTCGAGGTTACCAATTTTCGTGGATTGAGGAAAACTTGCATTTTCGTAGATATTTGATTTCGTGGTTTTGCCAAAGTCCTTATACGAGCCTCTATAAAATTTGTCATTCGTTGAACATTTGAATTCGTAATTCACCTGTACCCACAAAACCCACGAAAATTGGTATCCCACGAATAATAATGAATCCACAGTATGTTTAGCAGCAGCTCTGCTGTCGTCAATCAGTACAGGTTGTGTAATCAGCCTCCTAGCACATGTCATCAACATGTGCTTTTGTTATCGTATGCTGACCGACATTTGTTGAAATCGTCTCTTCAAAAATTTTACGAGTTGCTTGACTGTTATGAAATATCTGTTTCACAGATGACTACAGAGATGTCCCAATTATCACTACCACAGTCCCATCCTCTTTTCCTTGAATGTGACATACCGAATTAGACTATCAACGGGTTTGTACTTATATGAGCAACACGACACATGTGGAGCAGAATATGTTTACCCTTCCGGAGCACCCCCGGTTTTGGTGAGGTTCCTGTTGCTCATTCTTTGTTTTTCTTTTTTTGTGTTTTGTCTACTGTTTGTCTATTCGGCGTTTTTCGTTTTTTTTTTTGCCTAGGCATTGTCAGTTTGTTTTCGACTGAGGAGCTTGAATATCCCTTTGGTATATTTCGCCTCTCTTTTGAATAGCGGTATTATTTAACATAAAATAAATATTTCATTCATAAACATGAGATATAGTCTGGTTATAGTGTCAATTAACTTTCAGAGATTGCTAATTGACATATTCTTTATTTATAGTACTCTACATGTATGTCAGAATTTACTTCTTTTGCATAGGTCTAAAATTGACAGTGACAATTAGCAAAACATTATATATGAGCAAGGAATACTAGTGAAGTACATGAGTTTTGTTCAAAAAGGAGCAAGACATCAGGGAGGTATAGTATTATGATTAGCAGTATCGATTGACAAAGGCTAAAGACCCAAATGGGTCATGGGTTTAATTAGATTCGGAATACTGGATGTGGTATACGCAATCGGGATCAGTTAAACCAGAGACTCGAGCCACAAATTATGGTTCAAATAGTCACGGCTCTTACCATAAACAAAAACTAACGGAACATCGACTACACGAATAGGACTGAAGCTGATGCTTCTGTATGAGGCGCCCCCTATTTCAAATTTACATGTACCATAGGCGGTAAAAATTTTAAAAAAAAACTAGTCAGGTTTGTTTTTTCACAAACACTTGGAATTACGATACCTAATTCTAAAAAAAATGTTCTAGTTACTCCCCTTTGGCCGATCATTCGATAGTCACGCTTACCTGGATTTTAAATTGTGTTTACTCCACTTTTTAAAGTGAATTATTCTTCTAGTCAATAAGAATAAGAATCCTTCAGAATTATCAGACAAAATTTTAATTATTGCAGTGATAAAATTAATTGTATGCTAGCAAATTTGTATTTCTTCTATTCTGCCAAGTTCTGCTGCTGTTTTTTTGTATATGGGTGCTATGACAGCCGAGTATGTGCAATATTTCGTGCTCGGGTAGATAGAGAACGATTGATGAAATGAAACCATTGATTTTGACTGTATCTAATTTCTTGTAAAACATAAAAAAGTAAGATTTCTAAAATAATGTTTATTACGATCACTAATCCAAACATACAGGCATATATTACAAAATTCCATAAGTTGAGATGTTTCATATGTAAATTACAGGACGGCACTTATAGACCCGATAATTTACATGAACTCTCAAATACAACTCGTTAATGTACTCAGCATTTCCTAAAAGATCAACCTCCAGTTATGGCAAGTTATGATTTAAACACCCACATATTAATCCAAATAACTATATATTAGATAAGAACAGTAGACTTCTTTACATAATTACAACAAATTCCTGAAACATATACTTCAAATATCGGCAAGTTATGAATCAAATACCACGCACATGTATCCCAGTAACTATTAGTTACGAACAGTAGACGTCTCTACTTCATTACAACCTATTCATTTTAAAGTACCGTTCATAGAACCTTCTTTCCTTTTTTACTCCAATTATCTATCTCTCAACCTTTTGACGTGTCATATAGTATCGTTTCTTTCTCGTCTTCAATTTTTCTCAACACTAAATAGAGGGCCCTTGGATACCCATCGCTACCAACTATGCACCAATAATTTAACCTACATTGCTTCTTGTTTGTTCGACCTTAATTGCCACCAAATATACACCAACTATGCACCGATGTCTTGATAGAATATAAATCTAAACTTGATATACAAAAGATAACACGTACTATAATAACATTAGTGGTACCAGTGTGTCTGCACCAGATGTGCATTTCGACAATGAATTTCTCTTCAGTGATGATTGAGGCAAAAATATTTTAAAATTCGCAACTAATCAAAA